AATGTGGGGCTTGCTCTCACGACCCTGAGATTATGGCCTGAGCTGAACTCAAGAGTTAGACACTTAATGGGCTGAGCCACCCAGGGCCACTGGCTTTACATTTTTAAACGGTTTTTCAAAAAATAAAAGGAATATTTCATGACAGAATAGTATTTCATGACAAATTCAGATTTCACTGTTCATTAATATAATTTGACCGACACATAGCCATGCTCGTTTGTTTATTATAGGGCTGCTTTCACACTGCAGCAGCAGAGTTGAGTAGTCCCAACAGAGACCGATTTGTCTGCAAAGCCTAAAGTATTTGCTATATGGCCTTCCACAGAAAGTTTTTGACCTCTGAACAATACTATAGCCAAATTTATCTTTTTAAAAAATGTATACCTACTAATATTAGCTCCCTGCTTCATACCCATTTCCCTTGGAATAAAAATCTAAAATTTTTTATAAGGACTGCATGATCTGGTGGCAGCCCACCACTCCAGCTTCATCTCAGTACATCTTCCCTGTTCTTAAATGTTCTGCCTTTTTTTCCCCCCTGCACTAGATCTTCAGACATGGTCTTTGTGCCTGCTTCTTTCCCACCCCTTAGTTTGAAGTGATACTCATTAATAAAACTAAGTCAGATCCATTCCTTCACCTTTCTGTAACATCTTGCACTTTTCCTTTGTAACATTCATTACACTTGTAATTCTTGTTTTATTTCTGTTCTCCTCGCTTGACTATAAACATCTTGAAGATAAGGACAATGTCTGTCTTGTTCATTGTTTTATGTCCAGTGACAAGTGCAGTGTTTACTATATAGCTGGTTTGGCATACATCTTGATTTACCCACTATCATCTAGCACTCTGTCAATAGTGCCCTTTATTCTCAAAAGTGGACAGTAATTTATAGGGTTGTATTATAAATAGCTGATGCTCAGTAAATACCTTTTGACTCAATTTAGTAAAGCCTCAATGATTTAGACTCCCGATAATCATTACATTTAAGTAACAACACTTTTTCACTTCTCTGCTCAAGGAAAAGGCAAATGATGGGGAGAAAACACAGGCATTTAGTTACAGAAACAACATTCAAGGTATGCCCTAAGTTGAATGTTCATTTAACTCAATTTCTTAAACCTCTTTGTGCCATGAGAACAAATGATTATCTTGAAACACTAAAGAATCCTCAACTGCCAAAAGAATGTTATTTTCTGTATACTTGAGTTATTAAGAAAACAAGATGTAGGGACGCCTGGGTGGCTCAGTTTGTTAAGCGTCTGCCTTCGGCTCAGGTACATAATTCTGGGGTCCTGGGGTCCTGGGATCCAGTGCCCCGTTGGGCTCCTTGCTCGGCAGGGAGCCTGCTTCTCCCTCTGCCTGCCCCTCCCCCTGCTTGTGTTCTCTCTCTCTCTCTCTCTCTCTCTGATGAATAAATAAAATCTTAAAGAGAAAAAAGAAAACAAGATGTGTATATATAAGGTTATTACTTTTTTTTTTTTTTTTAAAGATTTTATTTATTTGAGAGAGAGAGAATGAGAGACAGAGAGCACGAGAGGGAAGAGGGTCAGAGAGAGAAGCAGACTCCCCGCCGAGCAGGGAGCCTGATGCGGGACTTGATCCCGGGACTCCAGGATCATGACCTGAGCCGAAGGCAGTCGCCCAACCAACTGAGCCACCCAGGCGCCCAATAAGGTTATTACTTTTAACCGGCTGAAAACTTAAAAGACTTTTGTTTAAAGCTCAAATCTTAATATTAATCCTTTCATGTTCCTCGTGATATTATCATATAATTGGATTTAGGATTTTTGATACAATACAGGCAGGATGAATCAAAATGTTCTTTTTGCACTGTTTTTCTCAGTTAGATAATAGTGGTCTCTCTTGCCAGTACATAGGGGCTGCTATGAAGCTAGCTCTTCATGCAAATTGAAGAGTACATTTGAGAGTGATTATTATTATTTTTTTCTTGAGAGAGAGGGAGAGGGAGAGCGAGTAGGGAGAGGGCCAGAGGGAGAGGGAGAGAGAGAATCCCAAGCAGGCTCCGTGTTCAGAATGGAGTCCGAAGTGGGACTCTACCAGAATGGAGTCCGAAGTGGGACTCAATCTCTGAGATCAAGACCTGAATCAAAATCAAGAGTTGGACCTTAACTAAGCCACCCAGGTGCCCCGAGAGAGTGACTATTTAAATCCAGGGCCTCTGAGAGCAGAAATCTGCACACAGTTTAAATTGTAAGCGTCAAAGAGACAGAATGGCTTTCAGACTTAGTCCCTAAGGGCAGAAGGAGATGCATGTGTCAGAATTAGGGATGAGGTGATGAGAGGCACTCTTCAGATGTGTACAGACGCCTCCCTCTCCAAATTATGATATCTGTCATTCCAGCTTCTATTTTGGGAATAGCTAATAGGAGAATGACAAAAAGGGGTCCTGTTCCTCAGGTGCATTGGGGGAAAATGGTTTAAAAACAGTTGATTGAATGTGTTAGTATATATAAAGAAGGAATATGTCAGTCTGAAGGGGGTTTGGCTGGACTTAGGCCAAGAACTTAGGACTTAGGACAGAAAGGTAGAGTCACAGAGGCAGACTGTTATCATTAGACAATGTACAGAGATGAGTCATCAGGCCACACCAACATCACAGTTGGTCCTTGAAAACTGTCCACCTTTGCTCTGATTCCATGCTTATCATGCAAATTTCTGATTACTAATACCTGACTGCCAACGTGTTGAGGCACCCTGTGTGGCAGAAGGAAAGATTTTGGACGATTAGAAAGGCCTGTTCCCCTATTGTGCATTAGCATATTTACCACTGAGTGAGTATATGAGGTCTGGGAGTGTGGCTTGTTAAAGTCAGCCACTCTGAGTGCAACTCCAGGGCGCTGACAATGCTGAGGCCATTCTCCAAAAAGTGGTCAGTTTATGAAGTTAATGTCAAATTCTGAAACCTTTTGGAAGAGTGGCATCCCGCCTTCTGCAGACTCCTCAGCCTTATCAAATCCCCTTATTCTTTCTTGGGCCTCTCCCCAATGATTACTTCTTTTGGAATTACTTGGAAATCTAGAAGTTTTCTAGTAGTGCTATAAATCTAGTAAGTGCAACATTCAAACCTACCTGGGAAAAAATAAATGTAAAATTGCTAACTCTTTTAGTCACATTTTCTATATAATAGCCTGGTAATGGAGAAGTATTTGTATTCTTATACTGTTCCCTCTTTTTTACCTTTTTGATTAGTAGAACTCCTCCACCTCTTTTCCCTTGGTCAGTGAAGTGTGCCTCCTTCTACCTGGTCCCCTAAGCCAGGAACCTGGATGTATCCTTGTTCCTTACCTCTTCTTTTCCAACCATGTCGTGTTTTTCATGAAGGCCCTCATCGTGTCTAGCTTGAACCATTACAAAAGTCTCCTAATGATCTCTTTTTAACACTGTAATCTGTCCTTTAGATTGTTACCAAAGCAATAATAGTTTTAAAAGAGTATCTTTCAAAAACACACTTTTGAACTTTTTACTTTTCTATGTGAAACTAGTAGGTGACTTTTTATATTTTAACAGTGTAGAGCCCATATTCTTCAGCATGGCATACAAGGCTCCTCATGCTCTGGCTGCTTCCCCCTTCCCACTGACTCTTTTCCTTCTCCCTTCCCCTTCTTTCCCCACCACCAATGCTAGTCATGGTGAACTGGTTTGCCAGGCTGTTTCACTCCTTGGCACATTTGTACTTGCCATGTATGTGGTCCTTGTACTTGATCTGTCAGCAACCACTATATACTCCCTCCATTTTGAGCACCTTCTTCCCTTGATTTCCATGACAGCATTCCTTCTGGACTTCCCTCTTACCTCCCTGGTATTTTCCTCATTTTTTTTTTTTTTTTTGTTGGCCACTCCTCTTCTACTCAGCCTTTGTGTACCAGGCTTTCTTGGGGCTAAGTCTTAGGTTTTCTTTTCCCCCTTAAGCCTACTAAATTTACTATATACTCATGGTTTGCTATAGGGATTTTTGTATTTAGCACAGGTATATAAAATCACTTCCAGTATAGCTAATGTATATTTTTCTCATAGCAATTTGGTTACCATAGTAGAGTAAGGATATCTATCTACAGTTTCAGCCTGTGAGAACTACCATAATATGTCAAAAGCACTAATTTTTAGACAGTGGACTCTAGCCCCCATGTGTGCTCTCTACAGTTTGAGGGAGTAGTATTCTCCATTGTCACTCTGGTCCTTCATTCTGCTATTGCATACAATAATTAGGTTTTAACAACCCCCACCAAAGGATATCATCGCAGTTCATTGAGTAGCATTTGATGTTGTCCACACATCTTACTAAATTAAATGGAATAACTAGGTAGAAATTGGGGCAAGCTGTGATTTTTCATTTAGAAGAAAATTTTTCTTCAGGGAAATAAATTGGAATTGGTAGATGAGACTCTCTGTAGTGTTTATTACAGTCCAGGTCCCTGCCAGGAAATTATTCTGAAGAAAGTAAGAAATATTTTTAAAGGAAAGAACTATTGAGTAATGAAGATACAAACTTTTCAGTGATGAATGATGTGCTGAGTGCTTATTGGAATTGCTCAAACTGAATAGCTTGCTCTTCCTGTTATTTCCTGGCGTTCCATTTATAATACTCAAGAGATAACAATCTTTGATAGTTGTAAAGGGTTAATACACAAGTCTGATGGGTCTGCTACATCCATACTGAAGAAGTGGCATATGAAGTAATAATGACATCGTCAGAGTTGAATAGAAAGTGTTAGCATGGAGAAAAAATTTAACCCTTAATATATTTAATCTCTAAAATGAGATTGGAATAATATTGCGATAGGCATCTTACATAATTGAGCACAAGCAGATATTTTCATTGACATTTTATTGTTCCTAATCTTGTGTGGAAAAGAAGAAATTGAGAACTGTCCCTTTAATAAAATCCTGTTTACCTATCTTCTTTTAGTAGGAGTGGCTTAGGAACCTGTAGAGTGAGGTGTAACTACCACTTCTGCATTCTGACCTGCAACCTTGGAAAGAGTGCTGATTCTACAGACCAGGAAGTGATAAATAATGTGCTTTAAACTCAGTAGAACATGTCTTTCATAAGGAAAAGCCTCTCATAACGAAATGAGAAGATTAAAGCAGTGATTTCACATAGTTGTCATTAAGTATTTGGGACTCTGATGCAGATAAAGACTGCAGAATACTTAGGATACAAAGCTTTCTGGGCCAGAAATTGATCTTCTGACTTTTGAGTCTTATCTGATTGCTACTTGGTTCATCTTTATTTTGTTAAAGTACTCTCTACAGGCTGAACCTGGGAGACCCTCCATTGTTTGCAGGTAGGTGGTCAGCCTTTGTTGAAAATTGAGGTTGTTTTCTAAAACAACCTAATTCAGAGAATTATTATGGGCGCCTGGGTGGCTCAGTCGGTTGAGCAACTGCCTTCGGCTCAGGTCATGATCCCAGGGTCCTGGGATCAAGTACCACATCGGGCTCCCTGCTCTGCGGGGAGCCTGCTTCTCCCTCTCCCACTCCCCCTGCTTGTGTTCCCTCTCTCGCTGTGTCTCTCTCTGTCAAATAAATAAAAAAATCTTTGAAAAAAAAAAACCACAGAATTATTATTCAGAGAATCATGAATATCAGTCTGGGTATATGTTTTAATGTTTAAATATTCAGTATGACTACAAATAACCACATTTTTTGTGACTTCTGACCAACTTTGTAAAGTTATTTTTAACAAATTAGTAGGTCTGTAAGATGGTGAATTTAAAAAAAGATGGTAAAAAAAAGATAGTGAACTAAATGAGTTCTATTTTGTTTTCCATTAATTTATATATATGTACATACTTTATACCTTTTATATAAAATACTATATATACTTTTATATTTTTATATTTGTATATATAAATATATACTTTATATATAAGAGTTCATATATGTATAAACTAATAGATAAAAAAGTATATTACTCTATTTACTGTTAACTTCCTGATAGTATTTGATAATATATTTTAAACATTTATTTATGTAGTCAAATAAAATTGTGTTTTTGTTGTTAATATTTTATGTCTAAGTTTCGTATCTTTCACTCAGGAAGCTGTCTGAATATTTATCATTGGTTTATCCACTTCCTTTAGTCTGTTTTTGGAATACTTTGATATTTATTATTCCAGAGAAGTTTTTATAAAAGGTTAATCTTCCACAAGTATATTGAAATATTTCTTGTTTCTCTTTATAAAGTTAACTGTCCATTTATGACACTAAAAGTATTTCAAAGATAGTGTCTTTGAAAGATTGAGTTATTAGTATGAGCTAATTGCTATTCACAAATGTCTTTTTTGGTGTGGGAGTCAGAAAAGAAATGTGTGGGGGTACCTTTAGGATCAAGGACAGTGGCTCCTTAACTTTCTCTGCCACTAGTGATCCTTTTTATTTTTCTTTTATGGACACTAATCTTCAAGACTTTGCCCACCAAACAAGTGGTGTATACTAAAGAATAAAATGTTAGAACATTATTGTTCATTAGACACACATTATTTACAATGAGAGTTTCTTATCAGCCTTAGATAACTATTCTAGGCTAATGTAATTCAGACCCAAAGAGCCCTGACATTTTACTTAGTTTGAATAACTTTATTGTAGGTAACTGTTTGGATATTTTTAATTTTTTTTTTTAAAGATTTATTTATTTATTTGACAGAGAGACAGCGAGAGAGGGAACACAAGCAGGGGGAGTGGGAGAGGGAGAAGCAGGCCTCCCGCTGAGCAGGGAGCCTGATACGGGGCTAGATCCCAGGACCCTGGGATCAGGACCCGAGCCGAAGGCAGATGCTTAACGACTGAGCCACCCAGGCGCCCCTGATATATAAGGTTTTTAAAATGGTTGAAATATTCAGATAAGTCATGAATTAAGAGGATGGTTCTGACTTGATGATTAGAACTCTGAATGTTGATCCAGTGGTCATAATAGACTGGTTGGATTGTAGAATTTAAATTGCAGATTGGTGATTGCCAGATACCGTGAACAAACTTGTACGCAAAGACCATTTTAAACATCTTACTTCCCATTTACAGTAGTTATTATTAAAATCAGCATTTTATCTACTCCCCCTATCAACCCGGTCAGATAAGTTTTGTGGACCTGTTTTTTACAGATACAGAAAACTGACATCTAGAAAGGTCAAATAACGACCAAAGTTACACATTTAGAATCTGCACAACAGGTCATTTTGACTTCAGAATTCATGTTTTGAATCACTTTGTTATCCTATCCTATATTTTCCAATACTTGGTGTAATTTTTCTGTCATTTTAGAGCTTGACCAGACAGGAATTCTGGCAGCTGCTCCAGCAGAACTATGGCAGTGAGCTAGGCTTAAATGCTGAAGAGATGGAAAACTTGTCTCTGTCCATCGAGGATAATGTGCAGCCAAGGTAGAGCAAAATGTTTTGAAATTTCACGATTTAATCATTAATTCAAGCAGAATTATTTTAGACTTTACTAATTTAGAATTTCTATTAATTCATCCTTGGGTGGAATTTGCCTCTTTGTTCGCTGTAGTGGAATGCAGTGAAAGGTGAGGACAGTGAGTAATTTGCTAAATTGGTAAACAAATACAGGACATATAAGGAAATGTTAGTTTTGTAACTGTGCTATCTAGGATTTGCTTAAAGTGTGGTTTTAGTAAAGCTTTTTTTAAGGATCTGGAGAAGTACCTAGTGACGTCTCTGATCGTATGGATAACAATAAAATAAATTAGCTGGTAGTTATTTTGAAGAATACAAAGATAATATGATGTTTCCTCGAGGAAGCCCTAAAGTAGTGCTTGACATGTAGTTGGCACTCGAATATCGAATGCATTAATGAAAGGAACTGATAGTACTATGGGGAATGCAAATAATTATAATATCAGGTTGAAAATGATAAAGGCCAAAAGGAGCAATAGATAATGTAATAAAGAGATTCAGAGGTGAGAGATCGTTTTTGACTGATTGTGATTCATTGGGAAGAATGGACATTTTTATTAACCTGTACAAGTAAAAGTGCATTTTGCCCAACGGTAATTGAGGTCATAGCAATAAGAACAATTAGGGATAATACATCAAATTCTATAGTAGACATTACAAGTGAAAGAAGCAAGTGAAAGGAGCAAGTCCCTGAAGACCACATATTGTATGATTCCATTTATATGAAATGGAATCCAGAATGAGTGTATCCATAGAGACAGAAGGTAGATTAGTAGTGGCCAGAGGCTGGGAGGAAGGGAGAATGGGGAGTGATTGCTAATGGGTACAGGATTTCTTTTTGGGGATGAACGTGTTCTAAAACTATGTAGTGGTGATCATGACTGTGCAACTCTATAACCACTGTATTGTACACTGTATTGGGGTGAATTTGATGGTATGTGAATTATATCTTAATAAAACTCTTACTTTAAAATTCTATAGCAAATAAATCTTAAAATAGAAATCTTTCAGAAGTCTCACTGTGTACATAATTTTTCCTTTATTTAGGTAGCCTTCTAGTTATGCTGATCCTCTTTATACTCAGCATCAACATTTTAGTCTTTTTTATGTGGTTACACATACATATTTTATTAGTTTTCTGTAAAGTTAAAAATTTCCATTGTACTGCTCTTCTTGTAAAGTTTCCTAGTCTCTCTTAGGTATTGGAGCTGGGTAGAAAAGCAATTGACATAATGCAGAGAGCCTTGGATTACGGTGGAGAAGATCTGGATACTAGTCTGGACTTGGCCACCAAGTAACTGCACAACCTCAAGGAAATCTCTTAGCCTTTCTGATCCTCACTTTTCTCATCTCTGAAATGAGATGAGCTCCAAGGTCCCTTGGAGAAACGCCCACCTCAAGGCATTTCTAGTCTTTGAAGAAGAAGGGAATGAATATTTTTGACGAGTTGCTTTGTATACTCTAAGGTCCAGCTTTTTGAAGTCACCAGAGAAGCTGCTGTTTTCTTCTGGTGATTGAGTGCTTTCTCAGAGAATATGTGGCCAGATCCTCATTCCCTCTCTTCCTTTTCTCTTTTTTCCCCATTACCGAAAGAAGCGTATGTCTCAAACCTTTAATTCCTCAGCTCTTCCCATCTTCTTTGTCTTCATTTTCATTCTCTCCATCACTCTCTCCCTCCTCCTTTTTCCTTTCCGTATTTCTCCACAGCTCACCCCCATCCTTAAAATCCTCACATGCAGACACTCAGCTGCTGAGCTAGTCTCAAGGCCATTTTTCTTGTTGGGTCCCCTTAGCCCTGCCATTCTGCCTGGCCAAGAGTGACTTGGTGGCAGACCTAAGTATTATTTGGGTGGGGTAGAATAGGGGTGTTCGTTCCTTAGGATAACTTGGCTAAAGATGATAGCCTGCTACTTTATTTTTAAAAAGCTTTAAGTCTCTATGTAGCAAAGATTACATAGGAATAATTGCTTAGTAAGTTTGAGACCTGGACATTAGATCAGTTGTACTCCTTTTATTTTTCATAGATTTTCCTTTCTTTATGTTCCTCCCTGAGAGAGGAAAAGTAGGTCTCAGGACATTTGTTGTAGTCATGTTCATATGACCATATGAAAGCTGTTCCTTAAACTTTGTTCTTAGGAAGGAGAAGAGCAAAAAGGCGGGCATGGACTGATTGATGGGGTCTGTGCTCAGATATCAGGAGCTCCCTCTCCTGGGAGGGACTCACCACCTCAGCCGGAACTGAATCAGAAGGAAGGAGATCTGAAACTGCCTTCTGGTATTGACTGGCATCCAACAAACATCTACCCTGCACCTTTCAAAGCTGTGTGGTGGTCTATAACTGAAATTTAAACAAACTCTAATATTCATTGTATTAGTTGTTACAGCCACTTGTACATGGTTAATTTTTTAATGGTTTCTAAAATTTATAAAATCTCATGTGAGCATATTTTGTTTTCTGAAATGAAGTCAACTTGCATGTGATTTAAGAAGATGGCCTTGTTATAAGTAGGGCTTATTTGTTACATTACAAAAACCCGTTTGTTGTCAAAATGCTTTATAATAGCAAAGGACCTCAGTGGGGAGACTAAATCACTCATTGGTATGGAATTGACCTTGATTATATTTCTATAATGATGTGTTTCTTACAGAAGTCCAGGAAGAAGTAGCTTGGATGACTGTGGGGAGAGAGATGAAAAATTTTCCAAGTCCATCAGTTTTACCCGAGAATCAGTTAATCCGGTTTCAGAAGCAGAGTCAATTGATGGAAATCCACCAAAAGGGGTTAGTGCATGGTATCCCTTTTAAAATATATCTGATGCTGCTATGTGTTAATCATAATGCAAGATCAAATAAAAATACACTGTACAAAATGTTTAAAAATTTAAGATGTCAGGCTGCCCCTTTATCTTAGGAGAAAGATTTTAAGTCTGTAAGTAGCAGAGGTTTTGTTCAGACCTGGATATGGAGCAGAACTACCAGACAGTTTCCTGAGCATTAGTCTATAAGGGGGTTGGACGTCATTAAAGATATAATAATATAGAGGAATTCATAGTTAGCAGAATTTTTCTCAGATTAAGTGGTATGTGTGGTAGAAAGAATCTGTTTTGAACGGGGAGATGAGAACCCTGCGCTGCATGCTTGAGTAACAACGGGTGCTTCTTAAGTTGACTATGTGAAAGCGGGCACATCCGGTTAATTCATAGTTACTTAGTTTCTTCCTTTATTTTTTCAAGTATCATTATAAGCCCATTGCTTTTTTTTTTTTAATTTCAATGAGTTTTTATCATCTGAGTCATTATATTTATTTTTTTAAATACTCGGTTTGTCTCCTCTGCCAACAGGAGCCACTTCAGGTTGGCTTCTTTGTTTTTTAGAAATGATCAATAATCTTTGATGGCTTCCTTTCTTTCTAGCACAACTATGTGTCCCAGGCACACTTTGTACACTTACTGTCGCAGACTTAGTATCAGCCATTTTCCTAATGGGCCATAGTTCTTAGTGAAGAATGGCATTTGGAGACCACATTCTGAGTCCTGAGAGGGCTCCTACTATAGAGCTTTCGTTCTGCTGATTGGGAATGCAAGTCTGGGCCACAGCTGAATTTCTTGGTTTAAAGCAGAGCATTGCTTTCAGATCTTACCTCTGCCACTTGCTGCCTGAATGCCCTTAAAGAAGTTAACCTAATTACTTAACATTTCTATGCTTTCGTTTTCTCAGCTATAAGATGAAGACAATAATACCCCATAGGGGTTTTAAATAAGGATTAAATGAATTAATATATGTGAAAGTGCTTTGAACGATCCCTAACACATTAAGTATTCAATAACCATAAGCTATTACAATTGAAGGTGAATCTGCATGTAGCTAGCAAGGGACCTTTTCTACCTTCTCCCATGGAGCTCCCAGCATCTGTGAATAAGTGTTGGGAAAACACTGAAACAGAATATGTAAAGGCCACCAAGTTATCAACTTGTTTCAGGCAACTGTCATACATCTATCCCAGTCTGATTTTGTATTGTGGATTTCTTACGAAACTATTCATCTAGAGACCCTTAGGAACTTACTATTGGTACAAGGGAGGTGATTCTGGATGCCAATCTCTGTATATGTTCTCATGGAGAAAACCAAACCACTCAGTTTTAGGGAGGTACCAGGACAGGAGATCTCTTGCAATTTCCTGATCCTTTTACAAAAGCCTGACTTTGAGGACTGGATTCTCAAAACTACTAATCTTGAGTCTTTCTTACTACTGCCCCGACATCATCTTCTGTACCTGCTCTTACAATAGTTAATCCATTGGTTCTTTTTTTTTTTTTTTTAAAGATTTCATTCATTTATTTGAGAGAGAGAATGAGATAGAGAGAGCATGAGAGGGGGTAGGGTCAGAGGGAGAAGCAGACTCCCCGCCGAGCAGGGAGCCCGATGCG